TAATAAACCATTACATTGAAGTAGATTTTAAATGAATGAACAATGAGACGTGATGTACCTGTGATCTCCAGACTGCTGATGCTCTGGTACGTGGAACCGACCTGGCTCTTCACGTTCACACTGCGGGCCTGAAAACACACACACTTAGACAGATGCAGATACATGTTGAGTGTGTCTTTACCGTGTGTGCATGCGTGTCCCTGTACCTTCAGCGTGTGCATCGTAGCTCCTCTGAAAGAGGTGGGAGCCAGCAGCGTGGGGGGTAACCCCGCCTGGGACCCCGCTGTAGCCACCAAACTCTTACAGTTAATGAGGAAGTTGATGAGAGTGAAGGTGTGTGAGCCCTCCACACACACTACGGACTCCGGTTTGTGGTCCAGAGACACAGCGGTGCCCTCCTTACGACTACACCAGCGGTCAAGGAGCTTTAACTTCTGACTTTATCACAGAGAAGAGCCCTGGGTGAGATAGACTTCTTAAGTGTGGTAGTATTTAAGGACATCAAGGGTCCTAGTTGGGCATCCTCCTCTGGGAAATTACACCAGATAAACAACAGCTAGTGTTCATTTTCTGTTGGAACACTTTGAATTAATTGAGTTGTGTGTTTTCCTACCTGGACCTGAACACACCTTCATATCTCCTCTAATGCTGCAGAAATTTGTGCGTCGTGATAGAGGACTAGCTGACCGTTAGAGTCTGACAAGCGGAAGGATACAGTTGTATGCTGATGCTGTCCGGCTTCTTGATTTTGTCCTGGACTCCCATCTCCTTCAGCCAGGAGAAGCTGCCATCGTCATCGTCCTCATCATCGTCGTTGTTGTATCCACAGCTTTCTCCTTCCTCGGCTTCCTGACAGCCCTCGCTCTCTTTTAACTCAGAACAGCTGCACATTAAAAACACAGGTAGAATTAACTTAATCCTTGATAATAGGTAGGTTTGTCCCATTTAAAATCAGTTTTTATAACCAGATAAAAATCCCAAAGAGTACATTTAAAGGTTATATTGAGGGAAGCTGAGGATGAAAGGAAAACACACTCACTCCTGAGCTTTCTCCATCTGCTCCACCTCAACTTCCTGCTGCTCCTTGCTCTTCCTCCTCTCGTCCACTAGAGGGAGACTGAACTCGATACCTGAACAAGTTTTCAAGGACATGTGTGAGACGACTAAATTGGATGAGATGTTCAGAGTTTTGAAAAGAAGCGAGCCCTCACCTTCAGCCTTCATGGCCTCTCTGAGCCCCCTGGTTGTAGGGGAGATAAACGCTGTGATGCTGCCTGAGCCCCCGAGACCAGCCGCCCTGAACAGCACCGTAAACTGACAGAAAGGAAATTAACGTTGTGATAAACAAAGTCAATAAATAAAATCAATAGATGGAGTCATGACATGTAATAAAAGGAGTTAAAGAAGTACCTGATAGGAGCAGAGGTAGAAGTAAGGACACAGCCTGGTCTTCAATAGACTGTAGAGAGACGACAGACTGACCGACCTGAAGAAGACAACCAGAAAGAAAACACTCCGTTTGGAAACACTTGAGGGAGAATCATTGTCAGGTTGAGAGAGGAGCTGTTGCTGTGGTTAAAACTAAAAAGCCTTCAGTCTCACCATTCACTCATGAGACTCTTCTGCAGGGCTGTATCTTGTGCCCACGGGGTGCACTTCCCAGTGAAGCTCCTCTCAGCGTTGATCCTGGGGAACAGAGAGATCCAGGGCAGGGTAGGGTGCTGCCAGTACACCAGACTCTGCTGGAAGGCACAACGTAGCTCAGAGCAGGACCTGGGATCCTGCAGTGGGAGGAGGGGACAGCAGGGATTAAGAGAAGTCAAAAAGATGACACTTAGAGATCTCCCTTTGGAAAATGTGGCCTCTAAACTCTACCTGTATACTGTGTGGCAGAGAGGTAAACTGAGCTCTGCAGTGCTGGCTGAGCCCGAGAGCTTCCTCCTGGGCTTTAGGGTTTTCTGCCCATGAGAGGGAGAGGGGGGAGGTGAAGAGGACGCGGGTCTTCAGGCTCCAGTCGGTTGGGTACTGAGTGCAGACTGGAGGAGCTATGGAGGCGGGCGCAATGGCTTGGGGACTCTGGGATGAAACAGAAAGTTATTTACAGTAAAGTAGGGAGGAAACTTTGTGAAAAAGTCTTTTTTTTTACCTTCAGCAGCGGACTTTTAACGTCTTCCTCCTCTTCTTCAAACAGAGAGTCGTCTTCAGAGAAATTAAGACTCTTCTAGAAGTGAATACAGAAGATTAAAAAACATGTTATTCCTATTTCAAACAGATTCAAACAGCGTTTTCTCATCCTCCATAGTATTTTACTTTAACATTAAAACAACAAACCTTGCCTGGAGCATCTTGCAGCTCCTGTTGTTCAACCTCAGTGAGCCTGGCACTGAAAGGTAAAGCTGCTCGACACTGTCTCTTCCTCGGCATGTCCTCTCTCTCCCTCCTTTCTGTCAATTTGTTTACCTGGTTACTGTCCACAGCTTCTGCATCCCCCTCGTCATTGTAAACAACTAATTTCTTTTTCGGGCTAAAAGTATTCTCGATATTCGCGAAGGGGTTTCTGCGTTTCATCCACCTCCGGAGCGATGCAGCGGTCCCGGGGAGAAAGGCCGAACGCAAGCCGGAGATGAGTCGCTTTGTCCCGGACTGCTGGTGGAGCCCGCGCCGCTCGAGAATGCACCGGCTTCGCTTCGTGCTCTTTTCCGTCTCATTCGCATGATTTCAGCCGGTCGCTTGAAGTTGGGTGAATAACCTGCCTGCTGAGACATCTTGGATGGGATAATTTAATCAAAAAATAGACAAAATGTTACGACAAATATTAAAAACACTACCCGCTGGTGTTCCGCTGCCTTCCGTACTTTACAAATTTGGCGCCTGACGTGTTGACGTAAGACGTTGCTATGGCAAGCCCAAAGTCCAAATGTCGTCACTTTGCAAACGCGTTTTGTTTAAAATACACATTCGTGTTTCATTTGTGTTCACAGTAAAATTTAGTTACTACATTTTGACACATATTTTTTTAACAGTATATGTCACTAACCCTTTGTATTTAATTATTTTTGGTATTTTGCATCTGTTATATTCTTACTGTTGTTAATGTTTTTCTGTGTTTGGTTTAGTTTGCTTTGTTTTTGCTGTTTGTCAAAGCACTTTGTAAACCTGTGTTTTTAAAAGGTGCTATATAAATAAAGTTATTATTATTATTATTATTATTATTATTTAATTACATTAGAATTTTTATTTTTTTAACACAATTCAAAAAAGGTAAATTCAAGATTCAAGCTTTTTATTTGTCACAAACTCATACAGATGTGCAGTGAAATGTAAAGACTGTTCCGCAAGGCCATGCAATAAACTCAAATTGCTAATACACATACAGTAAAATAGAATATAATGTGAAATTTAAAAAATAAACATTTGAATATACAAAATATAGACTATAGAATAATGTAAACGTAAATTAAATTAACTTAAAGAAGCTGTAACCTACCCAAAACAATATCATTCAGTATTTAACGTCTTGAGATTGTATTCTTATTTGTCAAAAGTATATTTTTTCTGTGATTGTATGTTTTACATATTGCAAATTTAAAAATGAAAAACATCTCAACTAAAAAGATAAATGTGTAAATGGGCAAAATGATGCATTGGTTAAAATTGAAGTGTGTTATTAAAACAGCTTTAATTTAATCTTTTTATACGTACACCACAAGGAGTAGCCTACCAAACATGTCTGGCTGACAATGAGGTTCTCTGAACAGCCGAAACAAAAATCCTTTTACATACAAATTTGTGACTGGCGGACTTTTCCCTTCCTGAGCTGTTTCTTGATGTTGCCCTCCCCTGCCATCACCCCCTATGTTCCTGTGTCACAGTGATTAATAGGACATTATGTAAATGTTCTCCTCCTTTGAATTTCTACAGGGTTTGTCATTATTGTGGATCATCAATCATGCCTGTAGCGTTTCAGAGCGATGGCTGCTGTTAGGAAATCAATTCTGGTTTCAATTGTTAGGCCAAAAGAGAGCAAACAAATGCCTTAAGCATCAAAACTACGACACTGAAATGTGACGTCGTCAATGCCCAAATAGATCCATGAACCCTCCTGAAGGTGGAACTGCTTTGTAAGATTGGGAATACTATTTTCAACGTAAACAACTTTATATCTGTATCAACAATCTGTTTGTTTATTATTTTAAAATAGTGTCCTTGACCTGCTGTTTTAAAGATTGTGGAGACTGACTGTCTTGTCATGATGAAGTTAGACCACTAGATGTCACTGTTTAGTGTCTTAACAGCCCTTCTGTTTTTAAGCACCTTTGATTGTCTTCCAGCTGTTGAGAAGATTTACTTTTCTCAATCTTGCCTTGATGTTTGCAGCTCTCTTTGCTGACAAAGCTGCTTGAATGAGAGCAGTCATCCACAAAAACATGATTTGTGATGTATTAGAACTGCTGCTGGAGGAGTCTTCACTTCATTTTGGATGGTTTGAAGTCTTTTACAGAAAGTTCACATGACTCATTTGATGATTTGCCGGCCATTTTGCAACCTTTGCCGGCAGCTTTAATACTGTGTGCTCACTGTCTGGCTGCAACCACTTAATCTTTATTTAGCAACGTGTGTGTGTGTGTGTGTGTGTGTGTGTGTGTGTGCGTGTGTGTGTGCGTGTCTGCGGTGTGTAATCTGGCAGGGAAAGCAAGCTAGGACTTGTCCGTTTGCCTGTAGAAATTCCTTCAGGTTCAGGAATAGCAATGGATGAACTGTGTGTGTGTGTGTGTGTGTGTGTGTGTATTTGGCATTCATACAGGTAGCAGCACCCTAGAAGCATTTTTTATATGAAGTCAGAATTAAGCGAGAAAAAAAAATCAAATGACCAATAACGACCAAGCAAGAGTCGTATCTTTTTCACCAGAATATTTATAGATATTAAAACCAAATGTGCACCAAGAAAACTCCTGTGGGCATATGTGTGTGTTAAAATGAAGATGAATGAAACTACAACAGTCATTGACAGCCATTTTATTTACAGTACACACACAGTCTTTGTCTCTTTCACACACAAACACACACATGAAATGCTACCACAACCGGTATCGTGGAATAAATTAACAAAATATCATGCTGAGAAAAAAAAGAAACGAGTCAAAATCCAACTTTTAAGTTAGAATAATTCACCTTGCAGTGCCAGTTGGCCCTGTGGTTACATCATGCGCCCCATTTACTGAGGCTATAGTCCAGGATGGGGATCTCCCTAGTTTCGAGTATGACCCTCGGTTCTTTCCCACTCTCGCTCCTCCTCCTGTCCTCTCAAATAAAGGCATTTAAACCCCCCCAAAAAAATCACCCTGGACGAAAGTTTCTGATCTAAGACAATCTTTCAGTTTTTGCATCCAACTGGTAACACAAATGTAAACAATTAAAACATTTAAATGGGTTCAGTTTTTCCTAAAATAAAAATCCCACTGTAAGAGGGCTTGAATCATGAAGGGTGAAACAACCAGGCAGTCAAGATATTTGGCATGAGCAAATCTATTCACAACACCAACATTTACAAGGAAGGAGTTATTTTACAAAGAATGCTGAGTGGTGATCAGTCCAGTGCCGCTGCATGCACTTGTCAGTGTAAAACCAAAATATTACCCTGCGTCCTTCATTTATTACATCTCCTCTGCAAAGTCTTTTTCCATTCGCTTGCACCTGTCAATCACTCTGCTTGTTTTTGTATTCGCCAACATTGTTTTTCAGTAGATCGTTTTATTCTGGGTGCACTCATCAGGCTCCTGGTCAAGTGGTGACACATGGTTGTTCTAAAATGAAGATTTAGTAATTGTGAGAAGAAAAGTTAGAAGACTCCCGAAGATGCAATTTTCCCCTGGAAACAATCGGGGGAATGTGCGCAAGTGACAGGCGATAGTGCTTTTAACAACCACTGGATGCTTTTTCCATTCTCACCGTTGATGTTTGGAAGCGATATGAATTTCAAAGTTGGGTTTTGTTAAGTGGGTATAATCGATCTAAATCTTTCCATGTGTTTGACAGAATTACAAATTTAAATTGTGCGTTTATTGCATTTAAAAAAAAAAGATTTACAACTACACTAGGAACCAATGTGCTTGTAGTTGATAGCAACAGACTTTGTGTGGAAGTTATAACGGCAAATTAAAAAATGTATGTTTTTGCCTTTTGATGGGCTTAGTGAGAGAAGAATAAACACCAGACTTTCCTTATTCTTTCACTGATATGAGTGTTAGTAATCACATGCTGTTGTAGGATTGGTGTTTGTTTCCCTGTTTAATGATTTTAGTCATCACATGACCAGGTAGCCTCCCTAAACAAGTGCATCCTTTGTGACGTATTCAGTACGGTCTCCAGACAGCTTCTGCTGCCACCATGTTTGTCGGCGAGGTACTGTGGCTGGACTCCACCTCCACACCCACTCCTTCATTCTGATTGGGCAGAGAGGGGTGCAGGAGAGAGGTGCCTGTGGAGGCGTTGGTGCACGGTGGCAGGATCCTTGGCGGGGAGCGCGAGTCACCACTGCCTCCTCCCCCCGCCATCATGGAAAACTGGTACGACCCAGCAGCAGTGGAGTAGTACAGGTGGTACGGCGAAGAGGTGGACTGGAAGTGACCATTCTGAGCCTGGTGGGGGGTGTTTGCCGGGTAGGGAGGAGGCAGGTATGTGTGGTACCTCCCCGCTGGAGTGGTTGCCATTGCCGTTGCCATAGTGATGCCAAGGGCGCCGTTGGAGACAGGGTTGTGAGACGGCGCGTAGGTGAAGGCGGCAGCTGTCGGAGGGTAGTGGACTCGAGGATCGGAGAAGCGGGAGTCAGGCAAGGATGGGAGGGAGCTGAAAGGTCGTTCTAAGGTCATCCTGGGGTCTCCAAAAGCTGTGAGATCAGGACCTGAGAGGGAAAGGTCAGAGGTTAAGCCCTAATTAAATTACATCTTGTTTGTTTCGTGTGTGCAAGCTTCGGTGCTCTACCTGTGAGTCGTGAGGACAGGTCACTGAGCGAGGAGCGACCAGGCGAAAGGGGATTGGCTGTGTGGACGGTGGGCGTGGTAATCTGGCCAAGGTAGGGATATGATTGGTCGTAGGACCAAGACGGAGACGACTGCATCTGTCTGGAATCTAAGAGAAAGAGAGAGAGAGAGAAATGATTCATTCATGCCTTTAGATCTCTAAAGGAGGGGTTTTAATCGGAAAAAGTTCAATGATGTGAGAGGTGGATTCTGACTTCACATGTCAGAAAAAATATCATTATATTGTTGATTTTATAACAATTAACTGTATACTACATGTCCCATAATGCAACTCAAAATGCCCTTCTCTTCTATTAGACCTCGCTTCCTACTGAGTCAACCCTGATGACGTCACTATAACATAACCAGGGTTATTTTGTCAGAACCACAGTTTGAATAAGTAAAATAAAGTTCAACTTTTTCAGTCATCACAAGCTCAGGTCAAACACGCCACAGCAAGATTCATTCAGAAAGCCTTCAACTTGAAAATCCATGTTTTGATTTGTGCTCGAGAAAAATATGTACGAGTGTATTAAAAACATGTTGAATTGTATGGAAACGTCTGTTAAACAAAGGCTGATTTAAATGAACTTCATGTTAAGACAGAAAATGAAAAAGATCAGAAGAAAGAAAGATGAAGGAGAGGAAGCAATTAACTTAGTGTGTGGGTGGACGGATAAAAGGGAGGGCTGTGTGTGTGTGTGAGAGTTCTTTCATTCAATCCAGTCTTTCCCCATAGTCTAATAAATGCGCTGATCACCCACAGACTTGCAGACGTACACGTGTGTGTGTGTCTGTGTGTGTGTGTGTCTGTGTGTGTGTGTGCAGACAGACGAGGAAGCAAATTGTACACAGCAGCCGAGACGTCAATGAAGGCTTTTCAAGTCTAGCCAAGAGCTCTCCCAAGCATTGCATTTTGTGTGTGTGTGGTGTATCTGGGTGGTGGTGACGGCCAGGCCCTGTGCCAAGCCCCCTCCTTTCCTCGCTTTTCTCCCCTGGCAGAGAGCACTAATGTGGGGCAGGAGTCACAGACGACTGGCTGCCTAAAGCAGAGAACTTGAACACATAGAAAAGTGTTTCCTATAAGTGACGCTCATAGTGTGACCTGGGTGATATGGAGCAAATTCAACGTGTGTTGCAGCCCTCACTCTGTATTTGTTTCATAGCTAATGGGTCATTCAAGGTTTCATTAACAATATTACTATCAGCTTTAAGTGTCTGAAAAACTAATACTTACACAATAAAATTCATGCTATGTAATGTTAGATAGGAAGTAGTTGAATACTATTATTAGCTGTAATCTAAAGGTAGAAAAGGCTTCATCATGCTACACCACTCTGTGTATTTTACTTCTCTTATGAGCTCTGTTAAGTGTTTTGGCAGCAGAGACTTTAACTGCACGGCCACACATGTGATGACCGACACAGCGAAGCATATGCACATGGACACTTCACACAACCAGTCAGTGCGCTACATGATCGTGCAGTATTTATTACTCAGAGTTTGGAAAATGTGAGAAGTGAAAGAAGGGAAGACGATTGTAAAAAAGAGAAATGAAAGAGGAGCAGGGTGCCTGATGACGGAGGAAAGAAAAGAGACGAAAGGGGAAGAGAGAGGAAAAGAGAGTGAGGGCTGTAATGGCCTAATAACGGTTTCCTGTTGCTATTTTCATTTTTAAGAGGGATCAGAAAAACATTGAGAGCAGGGAGCACAGAGCGCTCTGCAGCATGTTCCTCTCTGTCTCTCACCTCTGCTCTACAATTTTGACTTGGTTTATGTCTCAGCTGCTTGCCAGTCTAAAGAATAGCTGAATATCTGCAAAACAAACGTATAATTGCTTCCTTTAAAGACATGCACCAATACTAGTCATATTCAATAACTAATTGAATAGCTTCAATAATTTAGCTTTACACTCTGTTTAACATTTTTGGACTTTGCACATCACATTTTTATTACACCTGATTTTTGCAGTTTTTAGTACCGCTCATACATTGTGTGCTTTAATTGTGTTGGATTTGGATGCCTCCCCCATATTTCTTTCAAGGCCGAATTTGGATGTTGTTGTTTGTCTGACGGTTACATTTAAAAGCAGTTGTACTTTTGCAACATTTCTTTTTCTCACAGCAGCTCTTCCTGTCAGCTGACTCTCATTTCCTCCTTAAGTAATAACTTACTTCCTCACTTACTGGCATGCAAATGCAAAAAAAAAAAAAAGTCACACACAAACAGCGTCGTACCACTGAAAGCAGAAGAGGAACAGATACCCGTCTTTTGGTGCCGCATAGAGTATCCACAGCAACCGCAACACACACACACTAACAGGTACACACACATACACACACAGACCACAATGGATCTCACAAAAACCACAAAGAGGAACAGTGAGGTTTGATGCATCTAGATGCGCAAACACACACATTCTCACACGAAGTTGAATGCTTTTCGTTCAGCTCTGTACTGATAAATCTTCCCTTTCAGAAAATCAAAAGGAGGAACACTTAATGTTTGTGTCCAGGTCCACGTTTCCCCGTTAAGAGGAACTTGAACTAACCGTTGGTAAAAACCTCTTTCTCACAGGTGGTTAGAGCCAGTCTGATGAACAAGCTCATCCTGATGTCTTCTAATATTCAAACATATCAGTCACCATGTGTCTTTGCCATGGAAAATGCAAAAAAAGCAGCTTGACTATATGCTGTTCACCAACCCTGCAGCCACGAGTTCCTGAATTAGAAAATAACAATATGGAAATTAGGGATGCATCAGTTCAACATCTGTATCGGTCGATTTTGGCCCTGTTCACAGAAATCGGCACGTCCTAAAATATTGGCATCAGTAGCCGATGTATCAGTCTAATAACCGCTGATCAGAGACGAGTTTTTTATCGGGCAGAAGAAGTCAGCTGTTCAACAAACTCTGTTGTGTTTTCATGGTTGGACATGAGAGAAAATGACTAACTCTTGTTTGCCTTGTAGGTCATTTATAGGATCTGTATTTAGCTCAATCTGTTTCACAACCAGCTAAAAAAAAACCTCACAGAAGCTTTAAAACTTATGTTGCCATACAGACGTTTTGAAGCCTTTCTGTGGGAGTGCAGGTGTACCCTTAAAAGGCAAGGAGCTCCGACTAATTTTTCTGAATAAATTGGTCATGCACATTAACTCATGGGGTGTTGTCTTTACTCACGAACAGTTAATACAGGGAAATAACTAAATGTGTCTTCCACATTGAACCAGATGCTGAGCTGCTTCCAGAGAAAGATGATCTCATGTAGTCACCACCTCTATATCAATACCTCCAGAGGGAAATGGGTTTCTCTTCAATTCAAAAAATAACCACTACATTTGTATCTGTTTCAACCTGGACTAATCATGTAAAGTCATTGACCAACACACGTCTTTTAAAAGCTTGAAAAACTATTTGATACCTATTTTGTAAAGCAGGACATTTTCAGAGTAGACATGTCATGGCGAGTGTAAAACAAATAGATTGACATGGTGAGCAACAGCAACACAGTTCCCATGTAAAGACACGTCTGACTAATCCGTTAGCTTCCTGTTTTCCAGAATATGTCACACAGTTATATTAAAGTCTGAGTGGTTGCTTAATGGATTGTGTTTGAGCTCATACACAGACTGCAGCGGGGTCGTTTCTCAATACTAAAGCTGGGGCGGTAGCTCAGGTGGTAAAGCAGGTCAACCACTAATTGTAGGGTTGGTGTATGTCTGGCTCTTTCCGACCACATGAGCACTGGAGAGTGATGCTATGCTATGTTGTGTATGTATAGAATAAAGGTTTGATTCCAAAGAGGATTATAAAGCTATGTTTTTAGATGCAAAGAGGTTACTACAGTTTAATTCGAGAGGAGGAATGGTTGGAGGAGAGAGTCACTGTACGTATCCATAACTGTGAGTGTCTGCTTCACACTGACAGAAGAATCTGTTCTGCTGTAAACTGTGTAAATCTGTGTGATCTTTGCTATTTCATCGATAAGTTAAACATGTGCTGCGGTTAGTGGAAGGGGCGGGACTACAATTATGAGGGTCCACCATCCAGAACCCCTTCTTGGCTCCAAAATACATCACCACTTGCGCAATATGTCAGCACCCGTCATGGGAGTATTTTGGTCCTACAATGGAAGGAGATGGAGATGCATTGTCCATATTTATACACAGTCTATGGTTATGACTAGGGCACACTTGTTAAGGGATTGAGGCAGATTGTAAAGAGTGAGTTGAAGAGTAAATTATGTTCCTTGCTTGCATAGGCCTGACATATGAATCGGTTTTCCTCTCTTACCGGCAGTGATCTGAGTGTGCGTCGGGCTGGAGAAGGTGGCGGAGTTAAGCGCCGCAGATTGGCGAGTGTTGGCGGAGGGTTGGTGGTGATGGTGGTGAGGTGGCGTCACCCTCATGGAGTTCCTCCTCAGGTGCTCCAGCTCTGTTAGCCTCTCTGAGAACGCCAGGGTGCCGGGTTTGACCTCGTCCATCTTTTGACGTTGGCCTGGGAGTGAGAGATGACATTTAACTGTCATGGTTTGAAAATATTTCTCCTTGACACCAACTTTTTGCAGTGCGAAAACGCGATTTGTGGACGCAGATTCATGCATGAAATCTGATTACATAATCCAGGGATTACAACCCTACTGGCTTTAACAATGCCCTAACATTATTAACACACTGTCTGCTATAGCGTGGGGAATCTGGCGATGGGCGCCGCGTAGGGGTCGGGCTGTCTCCCCGGGTGTGTGTGTCTGTGTGGTGGTCTGTCACGCTGTCTGTTGTGTTGGCTGCACTTCAAAGCCCTGAGACTGAGCTCCAGTTACAGGCACTTCCTCCCAAAGGGGGAAGTGCACATGTGTGTGTATTAATACTGTGTGTGTGTGTGTGTGTGTGTGTGTGTGGGCGAGTTAGAGACGAGTGATGGTTATTCACAGCTGAGCGGAGCTGGCAGGAGTCTTCCTCTCTTTCTGTCACCTTCACGTCTCTCCTGACTCCTGACTATGTTCAAGTTCAATCCCATTTAACATGAATTCAAAATATTCCACTGACATTTTTTATTATGAAGGAAAATCTGTTTCTCTTTTCTGCTTCATCGTCTGCTTTAGAAATCCCCTCATTTCATCACAGTGAGTGGGAGAGGAACTCGGCGTTGCATCAGGTTTCTTATTGACTCACTCATCTGAGACTTTGTCTGTAGGGATTACAGGCATCTCCTCACTCAGTGTGCAGTTAGTTTGTGGGCTTTGCCTCTACAGTACAACAAAAACAACTTAAAGTGATCAAATAGAAACTTCAGATTCAAACTGTAGTCTCACATTTCTGTCAGCAAATAAATAACTACACAATAACTCTATGATAAAGTAATTTATGGGTCAGAAACAATGATGATGTAGATTATTTAACCCAGGATTTGAAACTGTTGCACAATACTCTGACATACAACAGCAGACGGGAATGTTATTGTTGAATGACTCTGCAAAACTCCAGTTTTGTTACGATGCCAGTATTTTTCTCAAGTTATTTGTCTGGCCGTGTTGTACTTTATTGGACAGGACAGCTGAGGAGAGACAGAGTGACACAGAGTGACGTGCAGCAAAGGGCCGAGGTCTCATGCGAATCCACCGACCCCTGTGAGGAGGACCATCCCCTCTATACATGCAACATAACCACTCTGCTATCCAAGAACCCACGATGCCAGCAGGTAACAATCTTGTTTTCCACATCTGCAGTATGTTTTTTTGAAGTGATGTTTTGGTATTTTTGAAGTGGGGTTACGTGAGGTCAGTCGTGAGTGTATTAGAACATTCTCAGCGCTGTGTTAAACATTTGTGCGTCAGCGTCACTCACGTCGTGGCTCTCTGGGGCCGTCCACCGTTATCTTAATGGCTCTCTGGTATGTGGCCACTTGAGGCGGGTTGGTGAACACCGTGATGGTCAGGGTGAAACTCTTCCCTATGAGAGAAAACGAGAGGAGAGAAGATGGGAAAAGAAAGTAATGGAAAAAACTGTTAATTAGTATTTGAAACATTTTCAAGTCACACTCTCTTTTCTTTCCTGATTTCTTTCCCCTACTTCACTCCTCCCTCCCTCCTTCTCCTAAAATATCCTTTTGGTCTGCTTCATGCATTAAGTCATGAAAGTCATGGTGCCCCAGACAGGAATAAAGCAGAAGCCACACACATATACTCACTATTACACACATGGATAAAACCGGTAACATGAAGAAAGAGACGGACCACGGTGCACTAATTGATCCACTAAACTTGCCTGGATAGGTGAGGACTCACTGGAAGTGTAGCGTGTGTAATTAGGTAACTGTTACTGGGTTTTTCATGTCTTGAGGCAGAATATTGAGTTTACTATATCAGACCATATTGATTATGTTGAGGCTAAAAGACAAATACATTCTATTTTAAATCACAGCAGTATTAGGCAACACATTTTTGTCAAATAGCTAAGATACGATAAAATAGCATTCTCCAGTTTCTCCCCTTCATCTCAGCTTTCCTGAATAGTTCAATGTCAATTAAATGTTGTGAATGTAGTAAAAGAGATTATGTTCATTGGTATTAAAAAAACAGTATGACTATTTATGGATTTATAGTAGTTTGTAATATAGTAAGTAATATTGTGAGTAAAATTAAAACTTATTGATTGATTAAAGTGATCTTTCCGTCACTTTATCATTACTGTTGCTATGGTAACTGGCATCCTTAAAAAAAATGGGGCACTGATTTAGAAAAGAGGATAAAGTGTAAATGTATCCCAATATACCATTTAAAGGGACACTTGTCGGCCAATCAGAGACAAGAGGATAATTTGACCGTGCTGTAATCCAAAAATATCAACCATAAAAAAACTAGTATCAGTTGAACCGTGGTCATAAGTGAAAACATATATATGTCTACTGTAATAAAAGGGTGTGTGTGTGTGTGTGTGTGTGTGTGTGTGTGTGTGTGTGTAGCCTCAAGTTTGGAAGCAACACTCACTCATCACGAAGCTTGCTGCAAACACACACACGTGTAGGACCACCACTGCTGTTGTGTGCCAGGCCGGAGTAAAGTTACCACATGCAGACAGTCTGATGCCACACACACACACACACACACACACACACACACACACAGTAGACGTACAGTATGTGGGTAACACCAGGTGTTACTCTCACTTCTCTCTAGCTCTGTCTCTCCAAATGTGTCTGCTGTCTTTTCAGTATTTTGTGTTTTTGTATTTGAGGCTTTTTTTGTCTGTTATTCAGCGAACATGTCGCATAAAACGTTTTTTTTTAATCTCTTGAACAAGAAACAAAAATACATGTACTGTTAAGTTTTCTTGTGGCTTTACCCGACGCGCTCTAGCCGACCATGAAAACCTTTAGCAGTTACTTTATGTGTCGTTTGCCATGCTGTTGGTACATGAAGCATTCTTCTTACCAGCCACACATTCATGATTCATGCTATTATATGATGTGTGTGTTGTTCTTTGTGGCGTTTTAAAATGGACCTAACTGGCATAAATTGGCCGCACTCCTGTTGTTTATTGTATTTACACCAACAGGCCACTAGAGGGCATTTACACTGAAAAGCTCCCCATGTTTCTGTTTTTGCTCCTTTCCTAGTAGTGTTCGAATGCAAATTGATAAACATTGTAAATAAATTGTGTGGTGAAATTTGTACACAGATCAAGAGAAACACATTGTGTGGTTTTGTGCCGGTTCTTTTCACATGAGGGAGTTTACAGTAAGAGATTTTGTCTGATAAAGAGACAGGAGGTGGAGGAGGAGGACAGCTGAGCTCTTTGTGTCTGTTGTGTCTATCAGCCAACCAACCGGTGGCTTTGCACAAAAACACACACATACGCCCGCACACACTCACAAATGAAGTTTTCCGGTATTCTCTGTTATCACCCCTACATGTCTCTGTAGATAAGAACAAATTTCACACATGTGCTGTATTGTGTGTGTCTGTGAGCGTCATGTCAGAGCCTGCAGAGACACTTTTTCTCTCAATCAGCCGATCAGATAGAATCTCTTATTTACCCCGTGTTATACCGAGCAATGTGTGTGTGTGTGTAGGAACAACAAGGTGGTGTTTGTGCGTTTGTTTGTGCCTATTCACAAAGAGTATGATATTTTGTAAGAGAAAAATGACGGTCCTGTTTAAAGGAGGAACTAACGCAGAGCCAAAAAAACTGGTTGCACTTGCACACACACACACACACACACACACACTCCACCACCACTGCAATACGGCAGTCGCAACATAACAGATGATGCTGAATAGTTTTCAGGCATATCTGCAATTAACATTACATTTCCTGTCAAGCCACTGTGATATAAATAAGATGTGAGCTAAGAGAATATTTCAGGGTTTTGTGTCTTTCTTTTAAAACAATTTGAAACTATATTGTCACGGTCTGACTGATTTCATGAGCAGAGCCATCACCCATAACTCAAAACTAACCGACTGTATATCATCGACTGCAAACTGCAAACAGATGGATTCACTCTGACTATTTCTGATATGCAAATCCACCGAGCAACTGCTGTGTGCACACATCTCAAGTGTTTCAGTGTTGAAATAACAGCTTCTGCAAAACAAGGACCACTGCCTAATGATGAGTGAATATGAGATGTTTGACTCTGACTGCCACACACACAGAAACACACTAACCGCTAGTCAAACCACTAAAACCACTCCTTGCTGTCGGCAACTAAGCTAACCACTTCCCACACAGACAGTTAATGACATTTAGAGGTTTTAGGTGGGGAAACACAGCTTGACTTGTGACTGGAAAGCACACAGTTCACTATATCCCGCATAGTAATCTAGATTTTCTTCACAAATTTGAGGCAGAAAAGTGATGTGAACGACAAAATTGTCAAACAAAATTCCATTACTTCAATCACATAAGATAGAGAACATACTAATATCTGTCAGTAAATCTTTTAGCGCTACTTTGTGTTTGATAAAGTTACCATATTTTAGCATAAAAGCAGTCAACCCAGATAGTGAACACAGTAAATATGATACGTTAGCATGTTAAAATTAGGATTTGGCACACTGTTTCTAACATGGCTATGGACTGTACTATTGTTAACCTTCAGAAGACACTACAGTGAAACTAAACCGTCATGAAATTGTAACCTTGTGGAAACTTGGTGGGCTATGTAGTGACCTGCTAATGCTACAGCACGCAAAACAAAATATATAAAAGTGTCTGGATGAAGAATCAGTGAATAAAAATACAACCAGGAGTTTTCTCCATCAGTTATTTGCATATAAACACATTTGTACTCCTCAAATTTTGATATCCTTCAATTTATAGAGCAGGATTGTCAAACATTGACAGTTATTCCTATATTTCTCTTCAGCTGTGCAGCAGTTGTCATTTTAATGTGTGTGTGTGTTCATGAATGTGTGAGTGTTCGAAGAGCTTGTGTACACAGGACTGGTGTTTTAAATAGATAAGTTGGGACATTTGCCTGCGACTGATTTAGAGTAACTGTGGTCTAGTGTGTCCGTTAAAGACATGAGGGAGAGCGGAGGGAGAGAGAGGGGTGGGGGGTAAAGCGAGGTAGACTTTGAATGGTTGTGTTAGGAGGAAGTTCTGTGAATACTGTTTTTATTCACTTGTACTTCCCCTATTTTATCCATGCTGCCTCCTGTGTTAGTGCAGAACGCAGGCACTGCAATTCAACCAGCAAAGGCAGACTCTACTTACACTCACATTTTATGCGTGATTGTTCATTTTAACGACATTATTTGTGTGTTTTCATGTGTGTTTGTGTTGTTTTTTTTTTTTACCTCTTCCACTGCGGCCGACAAAGCGCAGGTCGTTGAATCTGGCCACTTGGTTCTTGATTGCGGCCGTGGCGTTCCGAAGCTCAGCTGAGTAGTTTTCATCGTTCCCCGCCATCACCGTCACCAGGGTGCCGTCTGGGATGTCGCCCAAGGCAACCACCTGCAGACATGACGTGGGAAAAGGGCGTTTAGTCTTCTTTTTGATCAATATATGAATAAAAAAAAGAGAGTTTACTGCGGCCGAACAATAAGCTCAAAATAAGTTTTCATGCTGCAGGCCAGTTTTCATTAACAACTTTAAATTGAGTTTTCCATGCAGGTTGTCTAATATCAAATAATAAAACAATAAAAATGCGTCTTTGCCGTGATCCAGAACTATTTAAATGTCAAGAAAAATGAGAAAAATGTAATGAAGTGAAATATTTTTCCCAAGAGAGAATGAAAGTCTAGCAAAAAAAAAAAAAACAGAACACAGAAATGTGAAAGAGCGCACTCGAGAGCACATTGTCTTCCTCCACATGTATGCAAATGTAGAACCAACTGGAGGCTGATTTCCATATTAACGTTAATCAAAGCAAACCATCGCTGTGCAAATGACCACGTAGATACTGTACGACACCACACACGGTTTCTCTGAGCTCTCACAGCGAGTAACCACAGCCTGTGATCGCTCTCAGGTAAACAGCATTTTATAATTGTTTTACAGGAAATAATGTTGGTCAGACTCTGTATTTAAAATCTGAAGTGGCCTTGAGAATGAGCTGAAACATCAATATGCTCATATTGCAAAAATCAACCCATGTTGGTATCGATCTGAGCAGGTCAGGTCTTGTGATTGGATGTAAATCTTGTTAAAGGAAAGCAGCGTTTACCTGCTTGGTTTGAAATAAAAGACGTAAACTTTTCACTCAAGAAGTGTGAGAGGACAAAAGCACATGCAAACACACTCAGACAAACACACACACTCACACGGCTTGAGAGCTTCATAATTGTTTCCTTTGCCTTGTTTATTCTGCTTGGCTGGTTTTATGCTTCATTGCCTGTGTGTGTGTGTGTGTGTGTGTGTGTGTGTGTGCATTCTTTCAATACATGGCATGTGTAATCTAATTACTGTACATACAGTAAGCACCTGTGCAGAGTCCAGCATGCTCATGAAATTTGCACTTATGTCTCTCTACATATAGGGTATATGAGTGTGTGTCTGTGTGTGTGTGTGTGCATCATAAAAGTCATCCATCATCAGTAAAAGGCCGTGACATCCGCTCATGGCACTCCATAATGATGCATAATGCACCAAACTCCCTAACACACACACACACACACAAATCTATGTGCGCACATTAATGCATAAAACCCAATAAATCAATCAGTTGTGTGTTTTGCTGCTAAAAGCTGCTTTTCTGTAAATGCATTTTGTCTCAGAGTGCAGGATAACCATTCACACACACACACACACACACACACACACACACACACACAATTACACATAAAAACATGGACGCACCAGGGAATACCCTTCATAATGTACATATAAAACACTAAATATCTCTGCATCTTTTTTTTCTTGTATGAATGAGCATGATGTTTTTTTTCAGAATTTAGAATAATATGAAATCACAACAAGCTGAAGCTGTTAACGGAAAAAAAAAAAAAAAGTAATTATGCTCCAAACGCAGAAGAACATCTTCATAAGCTGATCAATAAAGTTATCAAGTTAGCACAAATGACTCATGATGTTTTATAATCATAAAGTGAGTGAGTGAGTGATTTGTGGAGGACCAAATATCCACCGATGGTAACTTCACTTACATGAGGATTGAAGAATTTATATTATTTTATTCTATTATTATTCAGAAAGTATCAGTATTTATATATTTTTTTTCATTCTACAGTTAAATAATATTTGTATTTCTTATTTGACTAAAAGCAACATCAAAGTAAAACATTACAAACATAATTCAGAGTTTAAATCATTTCATCATCGTTTTTTATCCGGTCAAAATACTGAAGCAATATTAAATTAAATCGTTTATCAAGGAAGAATTGATTTCATTGTTATTGATTTATTCATAACAATAAAATACATTTTGCTTGTTGATCATAAATTGTAAATCTGTATCACTTTAGTAACAAGGAGCCGCTAAATGAAAAGAGGTGTTGGGATTTAAAGCGACACACACACCTTAAATGCGATGGGCAGGGTCTTGTTACACCTCCAGTGTGTGGGCAGCACCGAGCACAGGAAGTTAGGACTGTCTGTCTTCATCAGCTCACCTGGATGATCTGAGATCACCTGAAATATAAACCACAGTTAGCTTCTGTGTGACGTTCAGGAGTGTTTTTATATGTATCTCAACATCTCCGTACCTCCACCATGCCGCGGTCGGCCATTCGCAGTTTGCTCACCAGAGCGGCCCCGCCTCCGGCCTCCTGGGCGCCCAGCGGCAGGGCCTCAGCCATCTTCCCCCCCGAGGCGAGGGTAGTGGATGGGGGGGTGTAACGCCGGCCGGGGGCTGGGTCTAATAGAGGAGAGAAAGGTTATACGAGGTCATTTTCCATATAATGATTCTCTTAAAAGCTGCAGATTAACAGATTCAACAGATTTGAAACAAACAGGTCAACAGCTTTCGATTTAGACGATAAATTAAGGGATAAATTATATTTTATAACACAGAGTAATATGTTTCAAATTCTATTCCTCTTCCAAGTAGGAATATTTTCAGTTTTTCTTAACCCCAGGCAAAATAAAACTGAAAATCTCCAGGTTTAGGATTGTAGGCTCAAATGTTTTTATTTTATTTTTTTATGTCTAACGTCTTTGTGGTGTCTGGGAAACTGTTCAAGATGTTTTTCACTTCATAACAGCTTACAGATAAAAAATAATGAATCAAGGGAAAATGACAGATTCATGTCCAAATCTTCAGACTGATCACAAACACTGAAATTGTTAAAAATGTGAATAAACTTTGGGAGGGATTTTTGTGAATACTGTGCAACACATAAACTCGAGTTTATTTCATATAAATACGGGCTACATGAAAAACAAGACAATAAATCACTGCTCGAGAAAGAAGGAGGATGTATGAAACCAGGGATCAAACTCAAACACACACACACAGACACACACAGACACACACAGTGCATGATGACACACACTGTGCTCACACATACCAGAGTGTGCAGTCATCAAACTAAAGACTGCAGCGGCTCTCTGCTTTCAGGGAATAATTGTCAGAGAAGGGGCAGGCAGATAAACGGACAGCTGTGCGTGTGACTGTGCATTGTGTGTGTGTGTGTGTCTGTGTGTGTGTGTGTGTGTGTGTGTGTGTGTGTCAAAGGCTCACGGCTTGTCATTCAGCCAGCCCACAACTAAAGCCACATGCTGGTGGTTTGGAGTTTAGTTTACAGTTGAAACCTTCACACTGATACTTCACTTTGTAAAGACTGTGACCTCACTGAGAGCTCCACCAACACACACACACACAACCAACGTGCACACACACACACAATCCTCTCCTGCTGAATTACTCACATTATTGTCCAACAAACTAAAAGACCTCGACTCATGTGCGTACCCCTTTACTTTTAGCAGCATGAATGGGTCAATTTTGGAACGCAGTAATTCAAATAATATCCTTTTAAAGGAAGGTTAGAAAGAAAATTAAAGAAGTGGCAGAGTTCATCTTCATGGCGGTCTGCTTTGAGGTTTGAACCATCAGAATTTTTAACGGTTTTAAAACAGCTAGTGTGAAATGAGGAGTGGATAAACGCTGCTCCTTTTATATCTATTCATTTAAATTGAGGCTTTTTTGACCAGCTTTGTCAATGACATGATGACTGAACTGGGGGGTTGAGCAGATAGAGAGGAGGCAACTTTTAAATACACAGGAGTGTGAATTATTTTCTTATTTTCTTTTTTGTTGCAAAAACACAAGCTGTTAATGTGATTTTAAATCACTGGGTTTTCTAATGACATAAAATACCATCATAAAACAAATCATGACGTATATGAAAGTTTGTTTTATGGATTACTTGAACTTATAGCATTACTGAGCCTGCAGTGTTTCTGTGGTTCATTAATGCAGGAAGTTAGATAAAAAAGAGACGATATGTACATGATAACCTCCCTCACATCAGGCTCATATCGTATAATATGATCCAGCCCAGAGGAAAACAATTAAACATTTGTCAAAAGCACACCAACATCATGAAATAATGTTAAAGGGATATATAAAGGAGATCCAAGACAACTTAAAACCTTCATATTGATGTGAAGATGAGGCGCATGTGTTGCCTGAAACGGTCAGAGAGCATTTATATGAAAGAGATTTGTTTGATTGTTGCATTCTGTTTTCTTCTTATTCACTTTAAACGTTTCATTCATTCATTAAAAAGACTTTTACCGTATTTGGCGTCCCACAGAAACACCATTTGTGCGCCACAGTGCGCCCACAGATACTCAATTTCCCCGATCTTCACAATAAAACCTCCCGATTTAGTCTTGAAATGAGTTTCTAGTTGATAATCTTCACTTTGTCCAGTTTGTCTGTAGCTTCAGTCTCGCCCAAAGTCGCAGGCTCGGTGTCTCGGTGTCCCGTCCACACGCGCCGGAGTCCAGCCTTTTGTGCGCCAAAGTCCGGAACCAAACAGCGTCCAAAGCAAGATCTCCAAGGCTGGAAGAAACACTAATGTGTTTTTCTTGTGTCTTCCTTTAAGTAAAAAAGTCCTTCAGTTACTTGAAGTGGATTTTTCAGCGGCTCCTTCTGTCCCCTCTCTGTTGAAAGTTGTCTTCCAAACACGTTTTGCGAAACAAAACACGAAGCCGAACGCAATAAACCTGAACTAACGTGGCTTTAAATCTCGTTTTGTCCCGGTGTTGATACCGAATCACACGGCTCTCTCTCTCTCTCTCTCTCTCTCTCTCTCTCTCTCTCTCTCTCTCTCTCTCTCTCTCTCTCATCCAGAGTACTTGAGTGTCACCGCGGCTCACAGCGCCAGGCTTTTACCGGCGGACCTCTGGATTTGCATTTCATCTGTACACGGAGAGGCTCTCAGCCAATGAGGTATCTCGCCGCTTGTTGTCAGTAGAAAGGGCTTGACCAATCAGCGTCATGTCCGTCCGGGAGGAGGCGGGGTTTAGCGGAGAGCAATTTCCTCACGCGCTATGAATCAACTGCATCTCTTTGAATTCAGTGTCACCAAACACAGAACGTGATGTAAAGCAGGACAGTATCAAATCTCTACAATATCTAATGTTTGAAACTGAATAAGGAAATAAAAAATGAGCAAAATTCTAAGACAAATATGAATACATAAAAACGACTCCAAATTAAAATAACACAAAAAATGATTAAAATGTCAGAACGAATGTGCAAAAAAGTATTAACACACTCATGCAGTAAATGTCCCGTTCTCCTCTTTCTGTTTATTTTCTTCTGTTTTTCACTAAATATGCAAAATTGAACTAACACAACCCAGTCCATTACTCAACAACATAATGTCTCCAGATGCTCTTAATTCCTCTTCATAAAAACGCTTCATAAACTGTGACTGGTAAAAACAAGCAGGCTGTCAGTACCGGATATAAACGATAGGGGGCAGTAAGTGATCTGAGTCATAACACAATCCCTCTGAAAGCCTGAGTGAATGAACAGCAGGGCCTAAACCAACACACACACACACACACACACACACACACACACACACACACACACACACAGACTTCATTTAAAAAAAAAAAAGGGGAGATATATTCAGTGATATATATTTCCTGTATTATTTTTAAATGGTTAAAAAGCTCCTACTTTAAATATCACTCACCAGCTTGTATTTCTTACTAATTATTATTTAAAAAATTATAACTAATCATTAAAACTCATTACAGATTTTTTTTTGTATGAAGTTGTTGTTTAGGTTGTCGTTATGTTTCTTCATGGTTTGAGACATTTCCTGCTTTATTAAGATTTAAACCTCAGGTGTATTGGACAGTTTGCTCAGTTCTAATTTGTTGCTTATTTAAGTGTTAACTATCTCGTGATGTTTTGCGTGAACTCTGATTATTCATCGTCGTCTTGGTCACGTTCCTCTTCACAAATGATTTTGACGTCCAGGTTTTCCTTTCAGAAAACACTGATGGAACAAATCTGAGATAACAAAACATTACTGATGTAGAATTTATACTGACAAGTGTTTAATTTTGATTAAACACACGCTTTGGCTTTCATTTTAATTCATCTTATTTTATCAATCAACCACAATCCCCAATGAAAGACTGATAATTAAAATTATTCATTTTTTTACAAATGTGTCAAGCCAGAACAGACAAAATCATAGTGAGGCTGAACTGTTGGAATAAACAACACAATAATTCTAATTAAAAAGAGATGAAATTAAAGTGTATGGCCTTGATGTAATACTTCAGGGGAATCAGAGGACAGCTTCAATCATTTTGTTATATATATCATGATGGAAATTTACATTTCAGATTCAATTAAATCCACGATTGTGTTTAAATATAAACTTTGATCTATTGACATAATTTAAACCATTTGTCACTATCTCATTAGTCACTTTATTTATTTCTTAATTGTATTTCTATGAAGTAAATGTTTATCAGACTGTCAGAATGAAGGCTGTTGACACCAAAATGTTGTGAACTTAAACACTTTAATTTGCTGTGGGAATTTTTAAACCTTAACATAACAAATGTTTAGCCCGGGCCAAAACGTAGAATTCAGGAATCTTAAAAGACCTGAACTCTGAGTGCATTCAGGGGATTCTTCAGTGTGGAACTTACATTTTTACACAACCTTTAAAAAGTTTAATTATAGGTCAATTATATCAGATCTGGCATCCATTAAAATCAGATGTTATATATTTAAACAAAGACGTTTTATTGCTGCTTTAAAATAAGAAAGTGAGGGAGTTTGAGCTCTTTCAGAGTCTGAGAAGTAAAATGTGTGTGTGTAGATTGGTTCACATTAACGGTTGGTTTTAGTCTTAAGCTTTATTGAACATAACAATCCTTTATTTTGAAAGGGCTGAGCGTCCAGTATCCTGAGCACCTGTCTCAGCTGAGTGTCTTTAGGAGTCAGTGGATGTGATTCCAGTTAAATCAACGCGCTGTCGGATGAGTTTTAGAGACACGCCAGTCTGCTCCTGCCTGCGTCCCTCTGTAGCCGAAGGGCGGATGATAAAAAATGTAAACGCCTCCACTCTTGTGTCCGCCTGAGATGGACGTGACGTGATTTGCCCTCGGAAATATCTATTTTTCACTTCCTCATGCGGGGCCTCTTTGTCCTTTTTTCCCCTCGTTATCCTAAAATCATCTGCTCAGACTGTTCGGAGGAGCATGTCAAAAATGTAGCCTTCAAAACTGAAATCAAAAACACATTGTCCCTATATTTATCCTCTTGTATTTAGCAGCTGCATCTAAAGCATTTCTGTCAACCTGCAATTTCATCAAAGTTAGCGTCATTAAATCTGACACTGGACATTTATTCCTCAAAGCACCAACACTTATCAATAATTCAAACAATGAAGGCTGCATTGAAACCATATATGTGTGCATTTCAGGCTTTCTGCCAAGCATCACACAGATTCTATAAGAACTTTGAAACGCCTTTGACCATCCACACACACACACACACACACACACACACACACACACACACACACACATCATCACATATGTCGGTTGTTTGTGGCAGTGTTTAAAAAAAAAAGGATGCTTGACGATGCCTCGTGTTGCAAACAAAAACAAAGAAATTTAGTTAAAAATGTAAATTTGGTTTACATTTTTTAATCCCCTGAATAACAATAAAAGAACGGTTCCCCTCCCACACAGTGCTTTAAGGCTTAACGATTAAATCAACACAGTTGTTGCAAAGGGGAAACAATATAAAAACACATAAAGGTGTAATGAAACAGTGGAACGAGAGAGAGAGAAAGAGAGAGAGAGAGAGAACGCACAGCAGGGTGGAAGGGAGTTGTATTTCGCTCTGCAAGCGTTTACCACTGAGTGACTGGTAACGGGAGCCGGTCATTGTCCTCTGATCCATAATCAATACCCAGTCACAATCACCTATCGAAGTTATTGATAGCAGCATTATTTCCTTTAATCAAACAAACCTTAACCACATATTCCTCAAACTGGAGAGCGGCTACAGAAACACTTTGAAGGAATACAAATCCTTAGTTTGTGCATAAGTTGGTTGGTTCTAAACTTGACCTGACGGTTCTGCAAAAATATGTTTCCAATGTTTATATGATCATTATCTCTGATCCCAGACTCACAAAAAAACAATCACTCTACGCCCTTTTAATGGATGTAAAAATACCTGAAAACCCTTAAATATATAAATGAACAGGAAAGACAAACACTGCCTCTGCTTCAAAGATCCTACAGGAATTTGTTCCCCAAAACAAGGATAGTTTTCATAAAAATATTGAATGTAAATTGCAGGTCTGAGGCAGGATGCAAATTCAGGTGGCCAGCATTTGAATGACGCCTAAAATAGCAGATTTTAAAACTTCAATATGATTCTTGTTATCGATACCTACTATGATACCACGGCAACACAAGTCCTGGGCATCCGGTGTTTCTTGTAATCAATGACCAAAAAGTCCAGGCAAACTCCTGCACACTGTCAAATATGTTATGGTCCTGAAATGGTGCCAATAAATGTATGCAGTTTACAAAGTGCTCTCAATCTCTTTGGCTCCCTGCTGCTCCTGGTTAAACAATATCTGAGAAGCTGACGTTTCTTTTACAGGGTTACTATCATCATTCAAATCCTGGAGATCTTAAACAGATTGAAAGTATCAAAGTTTTGCACATTTTGAAGACCTTGACCCCAACAGGCATTTCCTTGACCCTGAATCGAGCTAATCGTACGGAGAAGGTCAAGACAATGAAATAATGTGTCATTTATGGAAGATAAAAGTGTGACAAGCTCCACAGAAATATGCAAGGCTCTTCTGACTGTTGGCACTCAAATGTTGTGACAAATTATAGGACAAACTATTTTGCAAAACATCACAGAAAACAAGACGAACACCTTGATTTAGTTCAGCTGAGATACAACAGAAGCCTGGAAGACAAAACCACGCTGATCATGATGATGACTGTGAGGCATGAAGTTGAATAAGCTTTACCAAAGAGTCCGCTTCCTGTCCGACCTTTTCTCATCAGGTACATGGCCCAGGACAGGGGGCCAGAGTTGGAGAACGCCCCCGGATTCATGCCTCGATCCTGGGTGCAGAAGCAGCAACAGCTGGGGCCAGACGTCAGACACCCAGAGGGAAGAGCGAAGATGGTGTCAGTGTAAAATATAAGGAGAAGAAGAAGAAGGACGACAGCAAAAGGCCATGTAAACAAGGACAGAAAGAAAAGGATCAGCCAAGGTAAGTTTTTCTTTAGCCAAAAGTCCAATATTTGAAGTTTAATTAGAGCTCCAGCCTGTCCTCACCTTCACAGACGGCTTTTATACCCCTCATATATTGTATCCCCCCCCCCCCATCTTTCTCCCTCCCGCAATCTTCCCCCTTCATATTAGCAAAAACATGAAAAAAACGAGGGAGGAAAAAGCGAGGGAGTAAGGAGGAGGTGGTGGAGAAAGAGGAAGGAGCCAGTCAAGCTGAATTCATTCCCCCCTTCTCTAAAGCGTAGCCACGGGGGACACGGCTCCACTTTGCCCTCAGGCTCTTTAAAGCTGCTAATTTCATTTAGCTACTCAAATGATTTTTTTTTTTTTACCCTTTTGCCTCCCCTCCACTCCCCTCCCTTTGCCCTCCTTACCCTCCCTTTTATTCTCGCCATGTCGAAGTTATATTTGAAAATTGAGGTCACACACTTGCAAAGCACTGAAACCTGAGAGCATCTTTTATTTTTTTACTTTTGTACTTTAAAGAGAATAAAATATAATGTATAGATGCATTTTACAGAGTTAGATAAAGTCACATGTTTTAAAATGA